TGTTTTCTACTTCAACTTGAATGTGAGTATGAGCAAATGCTGGTCTATTCTGCAGTCTGCCCCTATAGCCTGGTTCTGCCTGATGATACTGAGGTTCCCCATAATCTCTTTCCACAGCTGTAGTCAATTTGATCCCTGTGTATCCCATGTGATGAGGTCCACCATCAGTATTGTTGCAAAAAGGTATTTGTAATGAGTAAGTCATTGGTTTTATAAGATTCTAAGGTGAGATCTTCAGGGTTGATTCTGGCCCCAGCGCCATATTTTCCAACCACTGATCATTCTGTGTCCATTTTTCACGGTCTAATCGCCAGTAATTATCAACGAATCTTGACTGCATGTTTGATCAATTTCATAGTGCAAAACTTCATAAAAATCTTCGATTCCTTCATCTTTGACATATATAAGTTGATGTGTAAGTTTGAAAAATAATCATATTCAATGTCTTCCTTGTAGGGTTGATGTTACCCTATCACGGACAGTATAATACTTAAGGACAGACCTTGAAATATTCTTTGTGACAGTGGCTACAATTCTGATCATCTTCCATTTGTCATTCCCAGCACAGTAGACCATATGACTGTCTGATTTATAATAGGCAATACCAGTTCATTTCAGCTCACTGATGACTAGACTGCCAATCTTCAAGCTTTCCACTTCATTTTTGATGACTTCCAGTTTTCCTGTGTCTCATACATTCCACGTTCTTATTTCTAATGGATGTTTCCCTGTGTCTCACACAGTCTACGTTCTTGTCTCTAATGGACGTTTTCCTGTGTCTCACACACTCCACGTCTTATTTCTAAGAGACTACAAATAACCTCATCCTCCGATCCCCAAAACTCAGCCTCGATGATACAAAAGCCCCTTGCTCTATGAAATCCCAAATCTCCTTACCCTGAGAGAGTCTAAACCCCCGCAGCCTGAACGACCCTATATCCCATCAGTCTACAGATCCCTACTCTTAGATATCCAGCCTGCTGTATTCAATGATCTTTCCACATTTTCCTGGCGAAGACCCCAGACTCTTCTCTGAGAAACGCCAGTCTGATCCCCCACGACCCTTTGGCTGCGCTACTGCATCAGAACTTGTAACCCCCCAACAGCCTGACTTCCCCATAGTCCTTCTCCTCTGACCCTAGTTCCAGATACACTTGGCACAGGGCAGTGACTTGGGTCGCTGTCCTGACTGCCACCTCTTCTTTCCACAGGCACTGTGCTCTTGGGCTGGAACTCTCAGAACCTGTGGGTGATGTTAACAGCATGAAGCTCACCAAGAGCCATGGAGGAGAGCATGAGGAGGACACCCATGGTAAGGGGGGAGTGGGAGGCCGGAAAGGGAGGCCCACCGAGAGTGCTGGAGATGGCTGGTGCGTGGGGAGGGGCCCACAAAAGGAAGGGGGAATCTGTTGGAGAATGAGGACACCGGCCTCAGCACCTACCCTGTTTGGGAAGCGCTAGAAGATGCCTAGAGTCTGCTCAGTTCATCAGAAAGTGCCTCCGAAGGAAGGAGGGTCCTTGTCCCCAGCTGCTCCCTGCCCACGTGGACGGACAGGCGGTCTGCACCTGGACCCATTGCATGTTGTATTTCTCTAGAGGTAGTTTCATTCACTTCTCCAAAGAGGGCTGCGTGGAGACGGGAGAGTCAGAGAAATGTCCTCCATGAATGTCAAAAGGAGCTAGGAGCCACTGGTCACAGTGGGGTCCCACCCACAGGCCTCGGCCCTTGCACTCCCAGGACAAGGTCCTGTGTGGAGGGAGACCTGGGGGGACAGTTGGTTCTCTGTCCACTGTGGCCTTTCCCAGCCCATCCACTGAGTCACAGCCCTTACTGCCTGCTTTTTTATCTGAAGACAAAGTTTTGTTTGTTTTTTGTTTTTATCAGTTTAATTTTCCAATTTGTAGAAAAGCTCATTATTTAAAGTTTTAATTGTGCCTTGAGTGATAGTTTACATGGGAGCACATTAGCTT